TGGCAGAAAAGGGGGGTGGGGACTGGCGGGAAGGGGTAGAGGCATACTGTCAACGACTTCACTCTCAAAGGAGAAGAAGTGTGCACACCATTCTGTTGATCGGAGAACATCGAAAGAGACGCTACCATCGTCACATGGATAGAACAGCCGGCTGTTATAGCTGTATTTGGGGAACTTTCAGTCTAGATACAGCAATAAATCCCAGGTGTTCTGCTCGGGTGACGAGAGAACTCAACACAGGGTTTGAGGGTGATTCGTCAGGGAGTACTCGACACAAAAGAGTCGTTAGTGTGACAAAAAATGTGCAGCAGCAAAGTCATAAAATCAACAGCTCGCGCACAAATGTTATACATGTGGGAGAAGGTAAGATTGAAAAAAGAACAGACAAAGAAAAGAAGAAGAAGAAGAAGAAGAAGAAGAAAGCTTACGATGAGCATTGCCAATCGCCTGGCTTTGCTTCAATCTTGGTAGCAGCGTCGTCCCAAGATCGTGTAGGTCTGTCTTCTCGCCTTCTGAAATCTCCATCGTCCCTTCTACCCCGTCTCGCAAAGAAATCTCCCTCCTCCCCTCGCCCCCGTCTTGGAGAAAAATCTCTGTCCTCCCCTCGCCCCCGCCTTGGAGAATCACCCCTCTCGTATCGGCGCTCTCTCCTGTCATCGTCCCGATAGCCCCTGGCTTGTCCCTTTAGGGTTGGCTCAGGAACCATGGGGATCTTACGAGGAAGTAAGGGATCGCGAGGAGTGGCACTGCGCTCTGCAATATCAGCCAGCAATGCCCTTGCTGCAGACGCAATGTTATCAGGGACAGATCCAAAATCTGCCATCTGCCGGGCAAGGACAACCAGCAGACGGACCACCTCAGGAGTGCCGGCTTCTCCCTGGGCTTCCATGTACCTCCTCTCACAGTCACCCACCCGCTCACACTTGTCGCAAACCTGCGTAAACCATTCGCAGTCAATGGAGGACACACAATGCATCAGCACAACTGCCTTTTTGGAACAAGGCACCGGCAAGGAACAAACACATACCAATACGAGAACTCATTACTGCCATACTGAAGTCAAGGCATACCAGTATACCCCTTGTCTAGGTAGTATGGACCCTCTCTCTCTCTGTCTGTCTGTCTGTGCGTGTGTGTGTCTGTGTGTGTTTGTGTGTGTTTGTGTGTTTGTGTGTGTTTGTGTGTGTGCGAGTGTGCAGTGAAGGAATACCAAGGTGGCAAAGACACACTATTAGTATGGATGATCACATGTATGCCCGACCATGATAAGAGACTACGACTCCCAAGTAAAAAGCAGTGCTCATGAGACTGGCCGGACAAGATGGAAAAGATAGCAGAGATAACAAAAGAGAGGGGAAGGAAAAAGAGTACAAAGCAGATTACAGCATTTCTGAGCAGGAAGAGACAGAGACAGACAGAGACAGACAGAGACAAGAGAAACATACAAAGCAAAAGAAGGGTGGAGGCAGAAGAGAGAGAGAGAGAGAGTGGAGGGGGAGGGAGGGGAGGGAAGGCACACGAGAGAGAGACAGACACAGAGAGACACATAGAGAGGTAAACAGCAGTACTCACGAAAGTGGCATGACGAGATGGAAACGACGGTTGATAACAAAAAGGAGAGGCAGAATAGTCTAAAGTAGACTGGAGTAGAGCAGAGCAGAAAGAGGAGAGGAGACAGGGAGAGAACAAGAGAGAGCAGAGAGAGAGAGAGAGAGAGAGAGAGAGAGAGAAGTAAAAAGCGTCTTAAAAACTGGCTTGAGAGGGCCAATGGTCTGAGTGCGAATCATCATCTTCATAAGCCTGTCAAACAGTACGGATAAATAATACCATACCACAAAGAAGACACAGCAGGAAATTGCCAAGGGTTTGTCCACCTTTTTCAACAAAAAAAAGGGAGACGACAAAAACCAAAGCACTCAATTCAAGTTCTTTGCAGCTAAGTTATAATACCACAACACACCCCACCCAGCTGTGATCATAAGTGTGATGGTGATACGGACAACATGCCCCCATCAACATGCACCCAGAGAGACGACAGGTCCTCGAGCCGTGCTCTTTGTTAACAGGCTTCAGCTTTCCCTCTTGACATACGTACAAAATATTTTATACCAACCGTCTTATCCTATCAGACTAAAAAGATCCAATCTGATACATCTTCTGATTATTTAAAAAAAAAAAAAAAAAAAAAAACTCAAATGTGCACACTCTCAATTCTTCCCCCAAACAAAACTGCAAGTGCTTCCGAGGTTCCCAATACCAAAATAGGTCCCACTTGGAATGATTGGGACTGCCACTGATTTGCACTGGGAATGCTTGGGACTGGGGATAATGTTAGGACCCGGCATGATGCTTGCGACTAGGAATGATTGGGACTGGGGAGTCATTGGGCCTATGAATGCTTGGGACCGGGAATGATTGGACTGGGCCTACGAATGGTTGCGACCGGGAACAATTGGGATGGGGAATGATCGAGACACAACTGGGAATGATTGGGACGCAACTGGGAATGATTGGGACTCGGAATGATTGGGACCAGGAATGATTGGAACTGGGAATCATTGGAACCAGGAATGATTGGGACGCAACTAGCCATGATTGGGACGCACCTGGGAACGATTGGGATGCAACTGGGAATGATTGGGACACAACTGGGAATGATTGGGACGCAACTGCGAATCATTGGGATGCCAATGGGAATCATTGGGATGCCAATGGGGATGATTGGGAACGGGAATGATTGTGAACGGGGATCATTGGGACAGGCAATCATTGGGACAGGAAATCATTGGAACTAGGAATGATTGGGACGCAACTGGCAATGATTGGGAAGCAACTGGGAACGATTGGGACACAACTGGGAACGATTGGGACGCAACTGGGAATGATTGGGACTGGGGATTGACTGGGACTGGGGAATGATGAGGCCTACCGAGGATTCCTTGACGCCAACGTACGCCCGCAAGCGCTTTGCAGAGTTGATGACCTTCCTATCCAAGTCTGGACAGGCTGCATCGGCAATGACCTTCAGCAGTTTCACTGGCATTCCCCTACACAGGGGTATCAGCAGCCACAGAAAGGATTACCTACACCGTACATCAAGGGGGAATCAACCAGTTATATCCAAAACAGAGCGTGCGTCTCTTTATTTCCATGCATATGCCCTTATACCTATATATCGTGAAACAGCGCTGCCCAGTAAACCGTAGGCAGAGAGGGACAAAAGGGAGAAGAGGACAACAAACGAGGGGCTGTGACAAACTGTTTCGTGGGAGTTTCACCGACTCATTTATATGTATATACAGTATATATCGTCACAAACAGAACTGCCCACAGTATATATATATTAAAATAATGTATATATCGTCACACAGAGTTGCCTGGTACCCCGTAAGGCAGAGAGGGAGGGAGAAGAGGGCAACAACAAACGAGGGGCTGTGACAAACTGTTTCGTCGTCGGAGTATCACCTCCCTACTCATCAGGAGGAGGCTGAACCCTCCAAAAACAGTCTGCAGAATCCCCTAGCTGATTACACTGTAAGTGATAATCCACCTTCCTTAACCCCGGTTGTGGTTAAGCATCAACCACTGCCCGACAACGGATACCCTGAGGTGGGCACCATAACTGCGATGGAACAGTCTTTCAGAGCCCCTCGTTTGTTGTCCTCTTCTCCCTTTTGTCCCTCTCTGCTTACGGTTTAGCGTAGGCAGTTCGGTTTGACGATACACACTTTCCTAAAATTACTCTTACCCGTCCGGGACATCCGTTAAAATTGGAACGATATTTATACAGAGAGAGAGAAGATTAGCATGGCCCCTGCGCAAGTATGACATGCCTAAATCGAGAAAAAATACGCATAGCATGATTTGTTTTTAATCTTTTTTCTTGTTGCGAATGGCATAAATCGAGAAAAAATACGCATACCATACCATGATTCTTTTTTTTCCTTCTTTTTTTTTCCTTTTTCTTGCTGCGAATGGCATAAATCGAGAAAAAATTACGCATAACATAATTCTTTCTTTTTTTTTTTTTATCTGTCTTTTGGTGGCAAATGGCCCGACCGACGCATACCATGATTCTCATTTGTTTGAAACAATACCAAATGGGTAGCATTACTCACAAAGGGGGGTGGGGGGGGGGTYTTTCCCCCCCCCCCCTCCTCACAAAGGGGAGGGGCTTTTTTTTGTTTCCCCAACTGATTACCCATCACACACAGCGGGTACCTTTGTTTTCCCAACTGATTCCTCCTGGACGCAATCGCGCTCACATTCATCCAGCATTGCAGTAATTGCGGCGAGCTACACTCAGCACACGGCGGCGGGGTCTTTTTTTCTTCCAACCTGATTACTCTGATTACTTACTCCTCACACACACGGCAGGGTCTTTTTTTTTAGGGGTGGTGGGCTTTTTCCAGAACCGATTCGTTGATGCAATTGCACTCATGTACACGGAGCATCAGCCATAATTGCGGTCACATTCATTCAGCACAGTTGTTGTTTTTTTCAGCACAGTTCCAACGGTGGCGTGAGGAGGCTGTTGTGCAAGTACTTACTCGAAAAGGTCGTCTCGCTCACGACCGAACTTGAGGGATGCCTTTTTGAGCGGATGGGGGTCTTCATACACGGCCACAGTGACATCTCGCGTGTGCGGTGCAAATTCCGACTCTTCGTCGAAGTATCCCCCACTGCGCAGCCGCATGAGAAACTGCTTCCATTCCGGCCAAGGGTGGGCGGGAATTTCAGTACCACTGCTCTCCTCCATATCCAAGACAAGGTCATCAGTGTCTTCATCGTCCTTATCAACAGAGCGCTGCTGCTGCAGCAGCTGCTGGTGCTGATGTGGAACCTTCTCCGGCAATTCCAATGCACCAGAGAGATCTCCCTCGAGATCCGACGGTGCAGAATGAGCCACGACATCATGATCTTGATCTGCTCGGCCGGCATCGTTGTCATCGCCCACCAGCTCGCGCGGATTTCCACCTCCCCCCCCGTCCTCCACACGATTCGCCGTTGCCTCTTCCGCCCCTCCCTCCCCTTCTTGCCCCTTCCGACCAATCTCTGCCAAAGGATCCCCAGTGACCACACCATTGGGCCACGCGGCAGTCGTCGTGCTCATCATCCGACGGCCACCAAGCGCCGGCGAATCCCCAAACAAGGAGGAGGAGGAGGAGGAGGAGGAGGAAGGGGAGGAGAACATCATTCCTCTCTGCTGATGCTGCTGTTGCCTCATCAGACCCAGCCCGTCGGTAAACTGTGAGAGAGAGAGAAGGGGATTGAGGGGTGTGAACCCCCCTCCTCCGCCTAAACCGCCTCCTCCAGCAAAGGCTTGACAAGCTGCTGCTTGGGAATACCTGCTCCCACGTGGCAGATCATCAGCCTCACCTGCTGCTGCAGAATGCAGCAGAGCGCCATGCTGTCGTACAACGCCTCCCCCACTACTCCCACCGCTAATGCACCTGTCATGAGCATTTTGTCCAGAGGATACGAACCGTAGATTTCTAGAGGAAGTAAGCCGAAAGGGGTACCTGCAGCCGCTGCTGCTCCTGATGACATATCTGTAGGTCTTGGCCGACACCCCTCCGAACGAAAGCAAGCGCGACGACAGCCCCATCTGTAAGCACCTGTTTGTGACTGACGTGGCAGTCGTTGCCATGGCAGAGAATATACTCACAAGAGCCCTGCGAGTTGCATGTATATATATATATGACGATATATATCGTCAAATAGACGATATATATCGTATATATGTATATATACTTATATATACTTATAGGTTTATGTATATATGGAATGGAAGCCCGCCTGCCTGCATCACCCGTGCACAGAGTAGGTCAGACATACACGTCAGTCGCAAAAACCAAAAATGAGTACCAGAAGTGAATAATTACTAGTAATTGGTAAAATACCATCACTTTAAAATAATCAATTGGTGAAAAGAAGAACGACCACCAACGGGTGTAGAGCTCAGTTGGTACACCCACGAACTGTTGAAATTGAAATACAGACCCAAGTTCGCCTCCAGATACAATCAGATGATGACCAGAACAAAATCATTCTGAATTACCAGCCTGGGGCCGGTCAGTTCAACGATGATATCTAAAGGCCGTCGCGCTTTTTTTTAAAAAAGAAAAAAGAAAAAAAAAGAAAAAAAAAGCGACCAACACAGCTTTTTAAAAAATATGTCCACAAATCAGTAAAAGCCCCCCCCCCCCCAACCCCCGACCCACAAAAAACAAACACCACACACAAAGCATCGTCAGACTGTGCTTAAGATTTCAAACTTCTTTTTCTTTTTCTTTTTCTTTTTTTCCCTAAGGCAACGAGGTTAGGTTTTAATAGCCCCTGTTGATGCTCTAGTGTTGCGATTATATTTTTTTTTCCCTGTTAGGATACATTATCTTCTTTTCTTTTTTTTTTTTGGGTGGGTGGGGGGGGGCGGCGCTGTTGTTCGAGCCACGGGTTTTTTGTTGCTGTTATTGTTTTCAAACATTCGCACGGATCAGAGGCTCCCACAACACCATAGATAGGCCGTTCTCCAGAAGAATCGTTTTTTTTTTTTAATAAAAAAACAATTCGCACTGATTAGTCTGATCGGGGCGAATCTCATTTTTAATTTAAAAAAAAATCGCCTTTCTTTTCCCGACGCGGCCGTTAACGCACAAATTTGGACCATTTCGCCGGGGCTAGGTCCCACTTGCACGAATTAAGAGAAACTGACCGTAGATAGCAAAGATCAACGGCCGAAATCTCCTAATTTGCGCAACTGGGCACCTTGCCCCCGGTCGGCCTACAGGGCGCGAAATGGTCCTAATTTGTTCAAAAAAAGCAGTGAAAAACAATAAAAAGGCTGGTGGCGTCGCCAGCCTAAAGTAGGCCCGCGCCAATTCGCTTTTTTTTTGGAGCGCAGGGCGTTTCCAGGCGCATACAATTATACAAGTATGAGCCTGGAAACGCCCTGCGAGGCAAAGAAAAAAAAAAGGAATTGAAAAACAGAATTGGCGCGGGCCTGCACGATGCCTTTGTTTTTGGCGCGCGCAGGGCGTTTAGAAATGAAAAGCCTACTCAATGCTCTCTCCTGCTACCGGTAGGAGGACTACGGCTTTCGCCCGAATAGAACGCCCACTCATTATCGCTGTATAGAGACTGAAAATTGGCCAACTACAGCTACAATGACCCGGTGTTTTTCTGTTCAGGTGAAGTTGGTAGCACCCCCTGAGGGCAAGAGCAGCTGCCATCATGATGGAGACTGAATTAATGAATTCATTTATTATAATTAATTGACCGCTGTAGGAATGGCACTAGGCTCTGAGAAGAAGGGCTGGGTCATTATAGAACTTGACAAGCTTACTAAATTTACTATTACTACAAAATGAAATAAAAAAAAGTCTTACTCGTAATGACTTAGACCAATATAATATAAAATAACAGCATTTAAAAAAGAAAAGTACGACAATGTGGGAACAACGTTGATAGATGCAAAGCTAAAGCAAAAGAGCGTCAGACATGGCAAAAGTCTTTTATGAAAATTGTTGAAAAAAAAAATCTTTACTCGTACTTGGTAGACCAATAATGACACATACAAACTAAAGTCAACAAGAAAAAGAAAAGTCAGTGTGGGAAGACTGGTGATAGATGCAAAGCTAAAGCAAAAAAGCATCAGACATGGCAAAACTCCATACGTGTTTTTTTTTTTGTAAAACACTCGCACTGGGGTTTTTTCAATTGTAACTTGTCCAGAATACCGGTCAGATACGTCCAGAAAAGTCCTAGTGTTAGTGCACCGTTGCCCTACTTTTGCAAACTCCCACTGATGGGGGCGGGGGGGGCGGGGGGTGGGCTGGCTCCCTATTTAATTTCCGGACTTCAGTACCCAGTGGAGGTAAGCGG